ACACTTTGCCAATGGAACAAGACGATTTCCTTTTAAAATAAAAAACTATTTTATTGTCTTATATCAAGTAAATATTATCTAACTATCTTATTTTAAGAGTAAAAATACTAATTCCATTGGCAGATCATCTTATTTACCTGCTCAACTTAAGGGTAAATATACTTAATTTAAGAATTTTTTTACTTATTTCTGGATTGTTTTTGCAGTGTACTTAAGTAACAAATGTGTGTACTTTTGACACCACTGTTTATCAGCTCATGAGGCTGCACATGTCAGTTGAAGCAAAAGTCTGACCCTATTATTTGTCCTCTTTGGGCTGATCTGATCTCAGCCACCTTTCTGCAACATCTCTATGAAAGGCTAAAAAAAGGCAAAATGAAAAAAATAGCTATAAGGGTTGTCAAAAGTATCGATACGCAAAAAAGTATTGATACTGAAAGTGCAGAATAGTGGAAAATGCACTTTCTGAACACTGTGATTGAATAATTCTGTGAATTTTTCAGTTTCAGACTTTTTTTGTAACAGGTGCAGCTGCTGAGAATGATTTTTGTTTCTTAGCCGGTTTGGCTAGTGTCATTTTTATGTGTGTAAAGCGTAGCCAAGGAAGGACCACTTCATTTTAATTTTGCAAGTTTTTTATCAAGCTTGCTTAATATTGTGCGCAGCATACAACCTCAAAATATTATTGTTATTTTTTTTTTCTTGTATTTTATTAGTAATGAAAATATTTCTGTTGAATTTTAGAGTATTTGTTTTTATTCTTGTGGTATCAAAAGGGTATCGAGTATTAAATATTTTACTTGGTATCGGTATTGAGTTGAAAACTTTAGTATCGTGACAACCCTACAATACATACATTATTACATACAGTTTCCGGAAGCTTTTCCAGTTGAATTTTAATTTTAAAAGTTAACCCTTATTTCCTTAACCTTAAACATATTTATCCTTTATATTTTAGTCTTCCTGAAGTTATCAGTTTTTGTTTAGTTTTTTCTGTGTAGTGAAATTAAATATGTTAATTGAATGTAAATCATATAGAGTTTGAGCATCTGCTGCTAATAGAAATGACAACTTTTCAATAATGATGAAATAAATAAAACTTAAAATGTAAAAAATTGAGCACCTCTAGAACTATAAATAAGTTCATTGCCAGGCCGTGGGAGTGTAGCTGTCAAGGTTTCACTCGCAGATCAGTCTAGAGACTCTCCGTTAAAGTAAA